GGTCAGTGCAGGATGTTGTTGATGCATCATGTGTGAAAGAGAGTCAAGTTGGCAAGAGTATCGTTGTAAACTTCGTACCGACCTTTCGTCGACTGTGATGGTTGTTATCAGCTCGTGTGCACTGTCCCTGTGGAATATTATTGTGATACCATGTATTTCTTGCTGATTGCCCCAGCCGCAGAAACCAGAATCTTAGCAGGAGGCAGGCAATCGGCAGATAGTAATGTCCTGGCCAGGGCAACTGTACACAAGACGTCGGACACAGTCAGGTCCTACATTAATGGTACATTAATGGTTCTGAGTGATGCAACACCTTTGAAACAGAAGGAACGGATCATGGAAGGGCATAGGAGGGATGTAGTTCAATCTCATCTGGCAGATAACAACCACTGGCAGGGAGTAAACTATCCAAAATATAAGAATGGGCCTATCTTCTTCCCCGAATAGAACGCCCGGTCATTATAGCTGTATTTGGCACAGTTTTAGGTCCAGATGCAGCGATAATGACCAGGCGTTCTATTCGGGTGAAAACGGTAGCTCCACGGGTACACCCATAGCTGTTGAAATACAGACAGATGAAGAAATTTCTCTAGCTGTTTGCTGTTGTTGTCTGAGATGTCTTTTGGGCGTCCTTGTTGGTGTCTGCGTTCTGCGCTATGCGTGCAGTGGCTGCCGCCTTCATGTTGTCATGCTGCCATCTGATGCCATCAGATTGCTTCCCTAGGTGAGACAGTGATGTCTACTACCGTCTTCACCCAAATACAACGCCCACTCATTGTAGCCGTACGTATCTGGACTGAAAGGTGCACCAATTACAACTTTAATGACCAGGCGTTTTATTCTGTTGAAGACGGTATATGATCCTAGTATACGTTCTTTCTCAGAGAACGGCTGCCTCTTCAGTCCTTCTTGAGGCCGCCTGATAGAAAGAAGTTTCTCTAGCTGTATCCGCTGTTGTTGTCCGAGATGTCTCTTGGTTGTCCCTGTTGATATCTGCATTCTGCGCTCTGTGTGCCGCCTGCATGTTGTCATGCTGCCATCAAATGGCTTCCCTATGTGAGACGGGGCTGCTACATGATCCTATATGATCTTTCTCAGAGAACGGCTGCCTCTTCAGTCCTTCTTGACGCCGCCTGATAGGAAGAAGTTTCTCTAGCTGTATCCGCTGTTTTTGTCCGAGGTGTCTCTTGGTTGTCCCTGTGGATATCTGCATTGTGCGCTCTGCGTGCCGCCTTCATGTTGTCATGCTGCCATCAGCTACCACCAGATGTGTCCATACCATTGTGTTTCCACAAAGATAGATGATGCAATGGGCAATGGTCGGGGAAGTCTGAGGGCGGGCGCAGCGGGATAGAAGCCTCCATCTTTGTCTAGTAATTAAAAAGTTGCTGGTAATCTCTGCTGATCATGCTCTGCTCGCTCTTTCGACCGCCCTCCCAGATGATCTCTGCTATCCATCCGCCTTGCTCTCCTCCCAACCAGTCCTCTCAGAATGTTTTGATCTCCTGCCTTATATCGTTGACGTTACTATATATAATATTATATATCCAGTTTGGCTTTTACTTGTGTCAGTCCGGCTGTTAGATCGTTTGGAATCTGGATTGATAGTTTCTGTGAATCTTCACCGTCCAGGCGTACGCCTTCTGAAGCCATCTCAGAGTCTCAAATTGATGAGGGCAGGGTTTCTCTTTGGAACAGCTATAGATGATTACACTCCCTCCAGGATTGACAGTGGGCCAAGCGCCATCTCATTTCTTGCCTGGATTGAAGGGAGGGAGTTTATCTTCTAGTCTTCTGTACATATTTTTTTTTAATGTACAATGGATATGATTCCGACCGCACCTGTTGATGTGCATCAGAAGGATGCGCGATAGTAACCTTCAGTCAAATACCTAAACCCGATTATCATAACCTTTGTCCGATGCAACAGATCAATTTACCCTTTTCAGTAAAGTTATAAGAAGCTAGCAGAAGCTGTCCTTCGGGACATCCGTTAAAATTGGAACCATACACAGAACATTAGTCTGGCCCCTGCGCAAGAATGAGAATGCAGGTCACTCTGGGAAGACAAGCCACATCAATGCTTAGACCTTGTTTCGGTCCCAGCCATCCTCTCTCGTTATTTCTCTCTGGCGCACCCCTACTCCCACAATCCCACCTCAGTGTTTACCACTCAGGACTATCACCTTTCTACTGTCTCAGCAGGGGTAACCAATGTTTAGAGAGAACTTTAGACCTTCACTCTGATCTCAGTGAGCTTATGAAAAAAGTACAAAACTAAACAAGATACGCAGTAAACTGCAGTTTACAGAGGGACAAGTCGTGCAAGCTCAGTTGGTCAGAGCTCTGGTGTGACAAAGGAGGTTGTGGGTTCGACTCTGTCAATCCTCAGTGTCTCTGGCTCCCGTTTAGCTGGTGTTGGATTTGGCACCCCACCCAGCCTAGCACAGTACAGAGGAGTCGCTACAGCACACGGAAGCGGTAGAGGACATTTAAGGGGGAGGGAAAGGGCTGTTTGATGGTACCTATAGGGGGCAGGGTGTCTCATAGGATAAAGGAGGGAGCATCACTCCTCGGAGGGCCATCACCCATGGGGGATGCGGTCCTTGGAGGGGGTGTTAGTGGGGTAGTAGCCTGTCCGGAATGACGAGGAGGTGAATGAGATGTGTGGGGTTTGCGCCTGTCTTTGGCCGGCGCAGGTGTGGACCCCTGTTCCTTAGTGTGGGTGGCAGGATAGCACCGCTAGCCAGGATGGGTCACGCCGTCCTGTAACCTTAGCTGGTCACGCCGTCCTGTAACCTTAGCTAGACTCGGAGGGTAGTTACGAGGCTGAAGAAGACGGGGGAGAGCGGGTGTTACATGCTGAAAGCCTACACACGGGCCCCTCACGGGACCCGAGGCTGGAATAGGGSCCCCAGGTCGCGTCACCGCAACCTGAAGGCCCTATGGCATTTTTACTTGGGCCTGCATCAGAAAAACGCCAGCTTTAGATTATTTTTATAGTCTTTATTTTATTTATTTGCTGCTGTTTTTCTAACGGGTGTACTGTTGTCCGTTTTGTGGCCAGGTACACG